ATCTATCTATCTATCTATCTATCTATCTATCTATCTATCTATCTATCTATCTATCTATCTATCTATCTATCTATCTATCTATCTATCTATCCAACCATTCATCCATACATATACTTATCCATCTTTCCGTACTTCCATCCAATACTTGCCCCCCACCCAAGCCTGGTTTCTGGGTGGAGCCATATAACCCACATGCAGGCAACAGACATCGAGTCTGGACATACTTGTCCCTTTGTCTGGCCTGTCACTTTACAACCACATTTTTTTTTATTTAGAACAACGTGCCTCTTCATTCTTCAGCCCCTCTGACTGGATCAAATTATACTGCATGACATAAATTGATGAACATTTTAAAATAAATAAATAAAAAAAACACCAAAAGAATTTCCAGTTGTAAAACTTCTCAAACATCTGACAAACTTTCCACTTGATCTGTAACACATTCAGTGAAGTATCAACACCAGTATTGATACTGGTGTTGGTGTTGGTTCAGAGTATCGGGGCATTTTGWATGAATGCTGGTATCAGTATCRGGACACCACTGATTTAAACGTGGCCTTATGACATGTTGTTCTTTCAAATAATTAATTAGTTTCTAATTGACCTTGACATCAGCCATGGAACATGGAGTCTGGAGAAATGTCTTTTTCCGGGCTAAGTTAATGGAGCGCCAAATGAGGGACAGTTTGTGTCGTTATTGTTTTTCAGGCTTGAAAAAATTGTTTCTCAACACTAACTTTCTGATGTGGCAAACAACACATCAGTCTGCTAAACTTTTGCACGGACCAAATGACTGCATGTGTACCAACATGTACAGGGTCAGTTTATAGTCTCTTCTAATTGTCCAGTCACACCACAACCCGCTTTGACTCTAATCTGGATGGTCAAGGCGTGGCCGCTCAAAACTTCTACCCAAGGCAAACACAGCAACAGCAAATCAGGGAAATATAGTCTGTGCCACGTTTTCCAAAAATGCTGTGGATGAGTTGAAAAATGGGGAGACAAATGTTTTGTTCATTGTGAGGAAAAAATATGTGTTKCTCTAAAAGCCTCAAGTGAACTGAAGCTTTAAAATAATCTGACCTTGACCCTCATTTGTCTTCCTGTGGGCCAGAAGTGACCAGTTGATATTTGTTGTCTTACCATGTTAAACATCTGCTAAGCARTTGTAATTGGACTTTATGTTATCTTACATGCACTTTATTATAAATGCATGAACATTTATATGGACAAAATGTTTTCGTTCACATTACATCTGTAAAATTAACTAATCTATAGCACAAACAATGTAACCCACAAGTTGTAAAATACTTGATCTTTTGGGTTTAGAGAAGAAATTGTGACAGTGTTTTTTATATGTAGATACTGTTATTGATTCATGGTAATTTAAACTTTTTTTTCTGTACAGAATTCCAGACGATGGTCTTATCCTGAGTTTCACAAAGGAAATTAAGTCTTCAGTGATTCCCCCACTTCTGCAGTCCTCTGACAGCTGCTTGAGCTCTGGTTGCTTTCCAATAAATTCTCTGTGTGATTAATGTTTTTAAATTACCTTATGCAGATTTAACATTTTCTGATGTATCTTTTGCCTACTCCATGTTTTTTGTGTGTTCCACCTCTGTCAATGACTGAGAGAAATAAACACGTGGAAACAAACATGTGAAAGCAGAGTGTTTGGTACTTTATCCATGTATTCAGTTTTCATATACTGGCTATTTCAGGTTCAGAGTTGCAGGCAGCCAGTGCCCAGTAAYTGTTATTTATTATTTAACAAGTGATTTGCTTCTGTTTTAACATTTCTGTTTTCTAAGAGTTGCAAATGGGTATTTTGTCACAAACACTATCATATTGCGGTGGAGAGCTGTTTTTTGTCTCCTTATTGCATCTATCTCACAAAACTAATGTTAATGCACATTTAAAGGCATGACAGCTGGATAAAATCACTATGATAATAATGTATACAGTTGTTTCTGAAATGTGTATGCATATTTGTGTTTGTTTCATAAGAAGATTTAAGTTGAAATTTTTATTTTTATACTTTAGCCTTTTTTTATTTATGCAGTACATTATTTTTAGTTTTTGTGTTGAAATTATTGAACATGACAGTTCTCCAAAACAATATAATCACTAGGAATGGCTTTATGGTAAATGGTCTGTACTTATATAGTGCTTTTCTATCCATCCAGGACACTCAAAGTGCTTTACACCACATTGTGTCCCCATTTACCCATTCACACAGCACTCTATTAGGTCTCTACAAAGCTAACATGAACAGTCATCTATGAAGACTAATCTGTGCCAATCACATTCGTACACTGATTGGACACACATCAGAGGCATTAGGGGTGAAGTGTCTTGCCCATGGACACAACAACTGAGACAGCTGGACGGGGGTTCGAGCCAGTGACCATCCGGTTCCAGGACGACTCCCCTAACCACGCTGCCACAGCCAACCCAAGCTTCAGTCCTTTATGTAAATGTTTATCTAAAAAGATGAGAAGGCAGAATAATATAACATTGTTTCATCAACATATCTTATCGCTCAGACATGTTTGTGTTCTGTGTACTCTATTATTGTTCGCTTCTAACATTAAAAACTTTCAAGTATCAGTCAGAGTTAAAAATATATTTGTAATCAGAATCCAAAGCAATACAAGGTCATTTTTATGACACGAATTTTCTACTTTTAAATTCATTACTAAAAATTTAACAAAACAGAATTTGTATTTAGGCCTATATTAATATTG